GCTGAACGCTCGCGATCGCGGCCGCCGCCTGAGACACGATCGGTCCGTTCTCGTAGCCCTCGCTGGTCGCGATCAGTACCGGCGAACTCTGCTGGTACGATCTGCCCGCTTCCGTGCCCTCGTTCTCCTCGTTGCCGGCAGCAGATCGGCCGCCCTCTCGTTGCCCGAACCTTTGATGCCCGCCCGACTGACCCCGTCTCTCTTGCGCTTGAACCACGATCCCGTGACCTTCTCGTCGTAATTGTTCCTCCGTCGAATAACCGTACGCACGATCGACGTCCATCCTGTCCGTGCCAACGGCCTCGTACCTTCGCAGAAATCAGAAAAATTTCACGTGGAACGGCTCGCGCGTCGAGTCGATCGCGAACTTACCTGGTCGTTTCGTTCGTCGGCGTCGCGTTCGGATCCACGGTTTCCGACACCTCGTGTACCTCTTGACCGTTTGGCGTCAGATAGAGGACGCGTTGCTCGTTGGGACGATGTTGCTGCTGACGGGACTGAACGTCCGCGTCCTGCTGGGAAATTTGCACGAAACGTTGCGACGGTTGCTCGCATCCGTGATCCCGTTGCGGCTCTTCCTGATAGCCGTGCGATCGTGCCCGCGGCAGATTACTCGCGTCCGGGGAATTCGGCTCCGATTCCGACACGGTCTCGGTGATCTGTCCGGCCGTGGTAATGGTGCGCACGTGCCTTCTGCTCGTGATGACCGAACGCGGGCTTTCCGACGTCGATCGCTCCTCGGTCGACGTCATTCGAGGCGAGCCCTCCTCGATTCGATCGTTCTCCCATTCGCGCTTGATCTCCTGTTTCACCAGCGTCTCCTTCATCGCGTCCTGCAACGATGCAACGGTGCAACGGAACCGATCTTCCACGCTCGGATAAGGATCCGCGGTGGCACGCGACCCGACCGGCCTGGAGGGAGGCAGTCGGAGAAACGGAGGGAACGATTCGCGGCGAACCGACGAAAAAAGAAAGAAGGGAGATCGATCGCGAAAGAGAAGGAACGAGGTTCGACAGGAAAAGGAAGACGGGCGGGGGCGGAGGCGGAGGGGGTAGCGGCGG